GGTCCCTGTGCTTTGCTAAGCTTGTTCTAAGTAGGTGCTTTAGACCACTGAGCCATCTCACCAGCCCTCTCATTATTTTAAAAACACAGATGCAGGGCCAGCAAGATAGCTCAGGGGACTAAAGTGCCACTTAGGCAAGTACAGGCACCATGGTTCGATACCTGGCACCACATGTGGTGCAGGACCCACCCCAGGGCAGGCAGTCGGTCAGAGTCCAAGCATGGTGGTATGCACACTTGAGACCCTGCAACCATCAAATACATTAAAGAAAAAACGGATGCCTGGACTGGGGAAGTCACAAGTCTAGTGCACACTCAAGGGGAGGGGTAAAAAGGCTGTCGTACCAGGATGACTGTGACGGCCGCCTTTCTGTGCACGTACCACACCTCCCAGGGTATCTGCATCTCCCACGGGCAGAGCAGCTGAGGTCTCTCACATCCGAAGCCCTAGGCCCTTCCCCTACCCACTCACATTCCTAGTGGATTTTTTTTTTTTTTTTTTTGTGGAAACAGGGATTAAACTCAGGCCCTTGCGCTTGCCAGGGAAGCGCTTATTCTACTGAGCCATCTCCCCGGCCCCATTCCTAGTGGATTTCTAAGCTCCAACCCTGAGTATAACCACACAGAAGCTTGACTGAGAATTTGGGGGTTTCCCTGGAGACCTTGGTCCTGTACCAGTATTTTTTTCCTCTAGCTGGGATTCCAGCTGGCAATAGCACCAAACTGTCCTGTGTCCCTCCCAGGCCCCTCAAGGTACTTTTCAAGTTAGAGCTGTGATTCCTTCTCATTACTCTCTTCTTCATCCCACCTGGGTATTACCTGACCCCAGAAAAAATTAAGGACAAACTGCACAGGCACCTGCTAGTGCTTTGCACCTCGCCTGAGTGATGCCAGGGCTGAGGGAGCAGCCCAGTCACTGCTCATCAGGGGACAGCCTGGATCCAAAGTCCAGGCTCTCTAGAACCAAGTGCCCATGTCCAAGGAAACACGCTTCTGATCAAGGGTGCAGCGTGCCTCTAGGCAGGTTTTTTTCTTTTCTGATCAGGCTGGCCTTGACTTCGCTTTGTTCAGGCTGCTCTCCAACTCATAATGTTGCTCCTGCCTCAGCTCTCAAGTGCTGGGGTTACAGGCGTGCGACACCATGCCCGACGCCTAGCTTGCTTATCTTCAGAGGGCAGGCACTTAGATTTAACTCACCAAGTAACGGTGATGGGAAACAGATGTAGGAATATGCTTTGGGGCACCATTGCCTCGTCTGTCTTCAGTGGCCAAGAGGAGCCTGTTTCCCCTGCCTTCTCCCAGTGTTTACTAGCATGCAGCTTTTCTTACAAGCCACAGTAAAAACCACATCTTCCTTACAGAATCCTCACGGCCTTTCCAGCCCTAGCAAGCCCCACTATGCACAGCCCTCCTCTGCAGGAGACGCAGGTAGGTGGCGGAGTTGGTGCGATTTAAGCAGGGGCCCCTCCCAACGGGGCTCCAAGACAGTCAGCCCTCTGGAGGGCGATTCAAGCTGCCACCTTCACTGTTCCCAAGACGGAAAAGGCTGCCCTAGAACCACAGAGAAGTAGCACTGATGGCCTTGGGGGTACAAGGACAAATGTCCCCATTCTGGCCCATCTGATTCCCCAAGTCAGGAGGTGACTGTGAACCTCGATTGTGTCCTGGAGGGCTGAGCAGCCTTGCAGCAAAAATACAAGTGTCTTTGACATACGCTGACAGAAATAGAAATATTTATTTCTTTAATCTTAAAAATCTGGTCCCACAAAAAGGTCAACACTGTTTTCAGCTCTTGGTTTTGACCTTTCACCAAAGAAATCTTTCAACTGAGAGGTAAGGTTAATTCAATAGAGAAATCTCCAAGGTGCACACAGACAAAATGTTTTCTTGTAAACCAGTCATCCAGGCCGTGTGCGCCAGCGCTCGGAGCTCCTGTCATTCAGAGTCCCTGAAGGAGAAAGTTAAGTTAAGAGGCTTTCTGCGGCTTAGGCACTTAGAAACCACCAAGAGAAAATCCAAGTCCAGCCGGAGCTGCGGTGCTGGGAACCTGTGAGCCCACAGAGCTGCCAGCAGGCAGGGGGGCTGCCTGGCTGTGACAAGCTTGCGCCTTCCTGCCACCAGCCTCGCCCTGCACAGCCCGCCTGGCTGGCAGATGGGAACCAGGTGAGCGGCCAAGACACAGTGCTATCTGGGCTCGGCCCGCTGGCGGGCAGCACCTCCCGAGGCCCACGCTCTGTATGCTGCAAAGGTGAGTTAGTGCAGATGCGCATGTTAGCAAAATAGTACGTTTAAAAAAGCTGCTTAATCCTTCCAATTTCCCCCAATGGCCTGTTCAAGCTCAGCGTGAAGAGCCACTAGAAATCTGGCGGCGTCCTTCTTCTGGAGGGGGCCTGACTGAGTGGCTGCCAGTAAGTGTAGAAAGCCCCCTGCCAACAGTGACCCCGTGACACCTGCCACCCCCAAAAAGGGCTGCTCGGAATCCAGGCTGCAAACTCAACCCATTCAGTTGCTTTTAGGGCTCATGTTTAATGCAGGTCTGTGATGGACGAAGGACAGTCTCCGAGTCTCCCTCATGCCTGGAGGGACAGGGCAGGTCTTCCAGGGTGTTTCTTCTCCCGAGCTCCAGCTGTATACGTGAATCCTGGGAACGCTGTGACACAGTGCCAATTTACTGCTCCACAGGGTCAGCCTGTCAGGAGCCAGCAAGGAGAGGAGAGGATGCGGAGGAGCTGGCCAGGGCATGCTGCTTCCATCTTCAGCCCGGACAAGCAGCTCCTTCCCAGAAGCAGTTTTAGGACAGCTGTGCTCCAGTCAGAACTGGACCCAGCCTGTGCCTGGCTGTGTTTGGCTGGAAGCCGACCTGGAAGGGACATGCAGGGAGGGGGAGAGCGGGACCATGTAAAAGCAGAGAGAAGCTGGGTCTCTGGGCCAGAGCTCTAAGCCAGTGGTGGCAAACCTATAGCACCTGTGCTGCAGTGGGAAGTTTGTAACACTGAAACCGTGGAAAGGTTTGCCATCACTGCTCTACGCAGTCAGTCCCTAAGCGGTCCAGGGCAGTGGTCAGCGAACTATGGTTCAGGGCAGAATCTGGATGTGAAGGTGGGTTTAGCTAATGCAGATGTTCTTCAAAAAGACTCTTACACAAGCTATCTCATGCCCATGTGCTCTATAAACAAAGCTTTGCTGAACGCAGCTGCGCCCACTCGTGTCCATCCTGTGAGTGGTTCTGTAGTGGCAGCAGAACTGAGTGGCTGGAAAAGATGCTGCACACACTGTGCACACCATTCACTGTCTGGCCTGACCCAGGCCTATAATGGCGCAGTGGCACTGAGCATCTCTCTGCCCTGGCCCCAAGGGAAGGTCTCAAGCCTTGTGCAGTGTGGCCAAGACCTGAGGTCCCAGAGTTGGGACCTTGACCCTCAGCCCAGTGTGCTTCAGGCAGTGGGGTGCAGCACAAGACTTCAAGAGGCGGCACAGAGGACAGCCATGCCACACAGGGTAGGTGGCCAGGGGCTGTCTCTGGCAGGCCTTGAAGTGTCCAACGAGACCAGCCTGCCCTGAGGATGATGTATGACACCACTCCACCCTGCCCAGCCCTGCCACAGCGCAGCCCTCCTCACCCTGTAGATTTGGTAAAGTCTCCCCAGATGTCAGCGGTGGCAGCAGTTGCAGGCTTGGGCTGTGGCCAGGGCATGGTGGCACCTCCTGTTGATGTCCCCATGTCCAATGGGTAGGGAGAAAGCAGAGACAAGGGAGTCAGAGGCCTCCTTCCAGTTTTGTAACATAATCACAAGACCTACTGACACTGTCAATGATTCCAGGAGGGTGAGACACCCAGAGGGTTTTGGGGCATCTAAACACCCAAGAACTGCTCATCTCCTCCATCGCCTTGAGAGCTCATGAGGGTCTCTAGGGAGCAGAAAGCAACAGGAAGGCAGAACAAGCCACATGTCACCTGTCACTCATGCCTGAAGAGTAGCCAAAAATATACTCTGGCTTGGAGTGGAGAACATCCCCAGTCGAGAAGGCCACCTTCACATAAAGCCTGTCACCACAGGCAGACCAACCCGGCAAGAGCATCACGTACCGGACGTGTGCCAAGTCCCAGCCCCCAGGGGGTCAGGGCTCAGAGAGAGAAGCACAGAAGTGGGCCTCTTGGATGCTGTCACTGGTGGAAGGTGGTAGGCTGTGGTGCATACTTTGGGGCTTTTCTGGCACCTTCCCCATGCTGCTAACTGTCCCTTTTGAAGGGTGTGCCTGCCACCCTCTGCCTTCCCACTAATCTGCTCTCTTTTCTGTGCTAGGCTGGAAGAACAGATAAAATGAGGCCCCTCCAACGGTGAAGTTTGCCAAGAGCTTAACCACATTATCTCACATGGAGTCACAGTCCCTCAGGAAGACAGGCCAGGCCTGTCTTCATGTCTGTTATTTTGAGAGAGAGTCTCCCAGTGCAGTTCAGGTTGGTCCTGAACTCACTACATAAACAGGGTGTGGTAATACACACCTATAATCCCAGGACTCAGGAGGCTGAGACAGGAGGACAGCTGTTAGCTCTAGGCTAGCCTAAACTGAGACTCTATCTCAAAAAGAGAGAGGCAAAGAAAGGGAAGGAGGCAGGGTGGAGAGGGAGAACCTAGTATGTAGCCCAGATCGTTCTCAGTGATGGTCCTGCCTCCACCTCCTAATGCCCATATTACAGGCGTACACCATTACATTGCTGGCCTTGCAACTTTCTGTGGGTCACTTAAATTTTAGTTTTATCATTTCTTTTTCTTTCATCTTTCTGAGACAGGGTCTTGCTACACAGTTCAGGCTGGCTTTGAGTTCACTTTGTAGCTCAGCAAGGTCTCAAACTCACAAAGATCCTCCTGCCTCAGCCTTGCAAGTGCTGGGATTACAGGCAAGCGTGACCACAGCCAGCTGGTTTTACCATTTCTAAAGTGGGGATAGCATCCACGGCTGCTGCACGGGGCTACCGAGAGGAGTAAGTGAGCTAACTGCTGCAGCACACAGCTCAGGCCCAGAACTCCATGGCCATCCCTGGGAGGCATTTATAAAGTGAAGAGACTCTCTCCTGAATGCTCACAAGGGTCTAGCTAACGCTCTAAGCACAGCACCCAGACTGGCTCACTGGATCCTCACAGGAAACGTGCTGGGCTGGGAGAGCTTAGCAGCATGGCACCTGCCCGGCAACAGTGAGGGGCTCAGTTCCATGCCTGGCTTCAAAAACAAAACAGAAACTGTGCTGTGGGCATTTTTTCTACTCCATCCTACGGATGAGAATTAAGAGGCTGGAGAGATAGATCGGTGGTCTATGCACCTACCTGGCAAGCACAAGGACCTAGGTTCAATTCCCGGACCCACATGTCATGCTAGCCCTAGATTCCTGGCATGCTAGCATGCCATCAAAACCAGGTGTGTAACACTGGAAAGGCTGAGACGCTATAAGTACAAGCTGTGTAGCGAGACCCTGTACCAGATAAATAATTTTTTTTTAATTTTATTTATTTATTTATTTTAAAGAGAACTAGAGGGGGGGCTTGTGGGTTAGCTCAGTTGTTTAAGTGCCTGCTTGGGGAAACCCAGTCAGGTGTAGGTGACCACGGTTCGATCCCCAGCTCCACAAGCCTTACTAGATGGGCCCTTAAGGCAGCCTGAGCCAGTCAAAAAATAAAAATAAAAGAGCTAGAGTGGTGGCTGTTTTCTGGGGACCACACAGATGTGAGCTGGAACGAGCTCAACCATCCTGGCCTTAAGCACACAGGAAGCGCTGCTAGCTGTCGGCTTGGTGGCCACTGCATCACCCACCCTGTCTGCAGGATGGCTCGCCACCTGCCTCAGACCTGGAGCAGAAGGCTGTAAGAGCAGGGACATCTGCCGTACAGACGGCTTCTGGTGGATGGTCTGATTCACAGCTTTCCAACCTCATCAATCATGTATCAGGGTTTTTTTTTTTGTTTTGTTTTGTTTCCTGTATTTAGTACAGGGTCTATAGGGTCTCACTATGTAGATCAGACTCACAGTGTTTCTCCCGTTTTCAACCTCTTAAGTGCTGGGATTACAGGAGCGTGCCCCACAGGTGGGGCTGGCATGGCATGCCAGGGATTGAACCTCGGCCCCTGTATCTGCCTAAAGAGGCACTTTAGTCCGCTGAGCTATCTGGCCAGCCCTCTAGGATGTTTTCTTTCCTCAGCACAGGAGATCAAACCCAAGGGTGCTCTACCATTGAGCTATAACCCCAACTCTTAACATTTTTTGAGATAGTGTCTCACTAAGTTACCCAGGCAGGTGGGACTCTCCCTAACCTGGAAGGCGGCTACGCTCATCACTATACCACCAATACTTCCCAACTCTCAATAAAATGGGAAACCTTCCTGCTTCAGCTTCCCTCAGGGCTGGGATTACAGCATGAGGCACTGTGCCTGGCTTTATCGCGGTCCTAAATGGGTTTCTGATTTACAATTTGAACCTTGGTGGACTCACCAAGACACAAGTCTATCCATTGTTGTTTTTTTTTCTTTTTTTAAATTTTTTTTTTTATTTATTTGTTTATTTTGTGTGTGTGTGTGGCCAGCTCAGCCCACCAGGGGGCGGGGCTGGCTGGCATGTGGTGCTGGGGGATTGAACCGTGGTCTCTGTGCTTTGCTTAGCTTAGCCTGTTCTAAGTAGGTGCTTCAGACCACTGAGCCATCTCACCAGCCCTATCCATTGTTTTTTGTTTTTTTTTTTTTTTGGTGGAACCAGGGACTGAACTCAGGCCTTTGCGCTTGCCAGGGAAGAGCTTATTCCACTGAGCCATCTCCCCAGCCTATCCATTGTTAAGTCAGGGGCACCTGCCTTTGCGGTCTCCCAAGGCCTGACCCTCCACCGGCCACAACCCAGGTGCTCCATACACTACTAAGGCACCAGCAAGTCAGAGAAGCCTGAGGCAGCAGCTGTCAGCCCTTAGTGAGTACACATACGAGAACATGAACAAGACTGCAGATGCTGCCCTGACCCTGGAGGTACCAAGGTGCTGGGAAACAATGCTTAAACAGCAATTGCTGGTGCCAGGGCAGAGGCTCCCTGCCTGCACCTCCTGCCACTTTCCCCAACAGGCTGAGGCTGGAAGTGTGACCTCCGGGTACAGCAACAACCAAGAACCATAAAAGCTGGGAGGCTTGACGCTGCTGCCCTCAAGAACTGGGTGAGAGCTGTGAGGAGCAGCAGGCAGGCGACAATCTCCCAGCCCAAGGAAGGCCAAGGACCTCACGTTAGGCAGGGCAGCCAGGTAGGGAGGCAGAGGTAAAGGGCTGGTGCCCCACTTCAGGAGTCCTGGGCCCCCAAAAGGCTGGGCTGTCTTGGGAGCAGCCGAAGATGGGAATCGGCTGTATGTGTGCAAGCAAGACAAGGTCAGGGTGCCCAAGCAGTCTGGCTACCTCGGTCTTTTTTTTTTTTTTAATTTTTTAAAATATCTTTGTGTGTGTATGTGTGTGTGTGTGTGTGTGTGTGGCCAGCTCAGCCCACCAGGGGGCGGGGCTGGCTGGCATGTGGTGCTGGGGGATTGAACCGCGGTCCCTGTGCTTTGCTAAGCTTGTTCTAAGTAGGTGCTTTAGACCACTGAGCCATCTCACCAGCCCCTACCTTGGTCTTGAGAAAAGCATCCTGCTAGACCATTTCAGTCATTAGTTGCAAGGCCACCTTATGCGTCCTGATACCAACTTTGCAAAGGTATAAATAAAGGTCCCTACTGTTGTTGTTTCGTCCTCTTGGCTATCTGGTAACGAGGCCTCCACTTGACCGTAGGTTTTGTCTCTTGTCTTTACTGTCTAAATCCCCTTCCTGGGCTGGGAATACAGCTCAGTGGCTTAAGCGCCTGCCTGGCAAGCACAAGGTCCTGAGGTGGATCCCGGTACCAAAAAAAAAAAAAAAAAAAAAAAAATTCCCTTGCAATTTTCTCCCCGGGACCACAGAAAGACCAACGAGTCCCTAGAGAGCCACGAGCCACCACTTGTGGGAGGAGCTACTGCTCAGCTTCCCAGAACCAGCAGAGGAGCTCGCTCCAAACTCCACCTCCAGGCTGACCTCTCGCTCACCTCCAGACACCTCACGCAACACCCATCTCCCCAGCGTGCAGGTCCCTATGTGAGAGGCTAGTCACACTCCTCTCTCTGCCCTCAGTGCCAGCACCTCTGTCCCACTCCCCTTCCTTCACGTCCAGCTCAGTGCTCCCTCCTCCATGAAGCCGCCCCAGATTGCACTGGCTGCTAGCGGTCTGGGCCCACAGCTGCCCTGTGTGCCTGCGACTCATCCTGCCACGGGGGCTAAGCAGAGACCACGCCTGTGTTGCTCCCTCCCTCCACGCCTTGAGGACCAGCACCTGCATGCTACTGGAGAGGGTGGATATGCTAAGGGGAACCCAGAGGCAGCTGAGGAACAGGATATCCACTTCGTGGCACCCACATCCTGCCTGGCAACTGGAGGTACAAAGTGACACATCAGCAAGCATGAGCTGGGAGAGTCCTGCACCCACAGGTGCAGAGTCAGCAGCACCTCCAAATACTGACCTGAGCCAGGAGCAACCGGTGGCTGGACAAGGGATCCTCCCATTGATAACTGCTCCCCAGGGGGTGGGACCAGTGTGGAGGCTTTGCCCCCAGGAGGTGGGGGAAGCAGACTTATCCCTCCTGTGCTGGCAGGCCGGGCTCGGGGAGTCCCCGCTGCTCCTTCCTTCTTCTTCATGTTCTAGAGAGGAGGGCATGCAAATCGGTCAGGTCTGCTGAGGTCCAGCTATACCAGAAAACCCCAAGAAGAAAGCAAGAAGGACCCTATTTAGCACCTTCAATGTCGAGGGCTACATTCAGTGCAACACAATTCTGAACCTACCAATAATATGATTACTGAAAAACCCAGCACCTAATTTCATGCATCATCAGAAATGCACATTAGAACAATGACACACCACTACACACCCACCAGAAGGCTAAATGCTCCAGCACCAACCATCAAGTACCCACAGGGATACAAGGAAGCTCATGCACTGCTGCAGAGGTTAAAGCCAGTAAAACTACTCTGAAAAACGATTCTGAAAGACTCGGGGAGAGGAATGGCCAAAGTCTGTTGCATACACATACAACTATGCCAACATGGAACCCACTATTCTGTGCATCTAACATGCAGTTGTAAAAATAAATACATAGCAGACTGAGCACCAGCTCAACACTGGAACCTATGGCGCCGAATTCCAGCCCTGCAAGCAGACCTGGGGGCAGAGCAGTTACTGTACATACAGTAGCGAGCTCCAGCAGGCACAGCAGCTCTGCCTATAGGCATGCCAAACAGGAAACTACTGTAAACGGGTAAATGGGACACTTTCACAATGGAACTTGCCGTAATAGTGAAAACGGACAAGACACGCAACAACCACAGCCTCTCACAGCTAGCAGTTATGCTGTGTGAGAGAAGGAGAAACCATGCACAGAGGAGAAGAAAGTATGGGACTCCACATGAGAAAGCAATGAGCAAACCTCTGAGGTTGGGCTGTGTGGGTACTGGGAAGGGACAGGGAAGGGGCTGCCCCAGTGCGGTAGCCTTCAGCTTCCTAATCTGGGACAAGTTTCTTTCTTTCTTTTTTTTTGGTGGAACCGGGGATTGAACTCAGTCCTCTGAACTTGACAGGCAAGCGCTTATTCTACTGAGCTATTTCCCCGGCCCCTGGGACAAGTTTCTATGTCTGCAAGTTTGGTTTTGTAAAATTCACAGAGTTGTGCACTTGTGAGCACTTTTACCTGTGTACATTATACTTCAACAAAGCATTTGAAAACACATAACTGAACACCAAGCATGAGCCAGAAGGCAACACAAGTTACACAGGTGAAGACAACAGAGCTCCCTACGTGGAAAAAAGCAGCAGCTTAGTCAGGTGTAAGATAAGCAGGCCTTGGGCCGGGGAGATGGCTCAGTAGGATAAGCACTTGACTGACAAACGCAAGGATCTGAGTTCAATCCCCCGCACAAGGACCGCGGTTCAATCCCCCAGCACCACATGCCACGCCCCCTGGTGGGCTGAGCTGGCCACACACAGACACAAAATAAATAAATATTTAAAAAAAAAAAAGATAAGCAGGCCTCAGAAGGCCCAGCTGTGCCAGTCAGACCTCGTACAAAGACCCTGTCAGCTCCTGTCGCTTCTATACCCCGGGCTTGGAGAAAAGGGAGGCTGTTTTATAATTCATGAGAAATGCCTAGAAACACTACCTGGCCCACAGCTGATGCTCATTAAATGTTAGTTTCCTCCAAGCAAGAGAAAGACTCGCATCCCAACCTGTCCACTGCATTGGACTTGTATGTTCTCTTAAGGCCCCTTGGCCAACTTCAAGGGTTCCAAATCATCACCAGTGTGAAGCAGAAGAGAGAAAGAGGTGGTAAGTAAAGAGGAAAAGCATTATTTTAGTGACACACTTGCTTCAAAAAGCAAACCCACTTGGTCCCCCAAACTCTTAACTCCAACTCCATCTCCCCAATCTACCCCTGCAGCCAAGTAAAGGCTGAGCTCTGGTAGCCCCACCCACCCCAACCGTTCCTATGCAACAGGAGTCGGCAGGGCACCACTCTGAACAAAGACACAGAGAGCCAGGACACCACCACTGCCGGAAGCGGCCCGTGACTGCCAGCACCACCGGATCCCTTCCGGCCAGAGTACCCTTCCTTACTCCAGCCGCAGGCCAAGACACAGCTGAGGAGGAGCACACAGACTCCTCACCCACCATAACAGCCAGGAAAGAAATAGCAGCTCTGGCAGCCAATGACTGATGCTGCTTCTCAACTCAGGGGCTTCAACTGTACTCTGGTCCTCACCCCCTGCTACACGCTGATTCCTCTGGGAAGTCTTGCTTGGGTCCCTAACTATGGCCCCGCCTCTGTGGGCATTCACAGCACCATGGCAACCCTCAGTTACAGAATGTCTCCTGCCATGGTGTAACTGCACCTTTACCTGCCCACCTTGGCTCACTCTGAGCTCCATGAGAGCAGAGGAGGGCTCTATGGACTGGGTGCAAACCTGGAACAGTGCACAGCAGCTGTACTGATGCATGTGAACCCTGAGGACAGTGGTGGGCAGGGCTGGGTGCCCAGGAGCATCACACGACCATGGACAACACAGCCTCGCAAGGTAGGACTCACTGCAATGTTGAGCTTGATGGTCTGACCCTCCTTCAAGCCCAGGTCCAGCTTGGGGCCTTGGTCTGGGTTCTGGGCTTGTTTTGCAAACTCACTCTGCTGTTTCACCCACCTGGGGAGAGAAGAGCACAGAACAGTGAGGCAGGAGAGAGCACTTGCCTGCAGAGCACACACTCGCCTCAGTCCAGGATGGGGGCAGGGGGAGCAGGAATGCAGACCCCAACTGTGACACATAAGCAGCTGCACGCAGGTCAGTTTCCACCATGGCTGATATTCCACGTCCTTAGGCGCTTGGGAACACGATAAGATTCTTATACAGAGTTCTAGCACTGGGCTCCAGGAAGAGCCTGGCCTACTCCTTCCCAGCCACTGGCACAGGCTGGCACAATCCATAGTGAGAAAGGACAGAAGCAGAGGATGACACAAAAGTCCCCAAGCTCCGTACAATGCCATCCAGCAGCCACCAGGGACAAGGGTGCCCGCACTAGTGGCCAGGCACTGCCCACTTCTCAGCCGTCAGTGGCAGGTCCCTACAGATGGCAAAGGGACACTTCTTTGCCCTGTCTTTCCATTAAGGACACCAAGGCATCTGCTGGGTGACCTGGGAATTAGGGTGACCTTTATGATGTTGGGAGGACCAGGCCCTGAAACCAAAGGAGTGTGACAAGGTCTCTGTCAGGGGCTGGTGAGGAAGATGTTACATCTCAAAGGCTGGGCAGAGGACGGAATGATAGGAACAGGCCTTGGGGAAAGGGTAAGATGCTTATGATGCAGTCAGCAGGGTGGACAGAAGGGGGCCTGCTTGCGAGGACTGGGTTTTCCAGATGTTCTGCGAACACACAAACCACACACAGCTGCTTGCCTATCCCAACCTGGGGGGTCATTCTGTCCAGAGAAAGGGCTGCCATGCTAGCCCCTGAAACCGCACATGGTGGCACACGCCCATAATCCCAATGCTGGGGAGGCTGAGACAGGAGGATCAGTACAAGTTTGAGTTGCATAGTGAGACTCTGTACCAAATAAACAAACAAACAAACAAACAAACAAATAAATAAATAATGACTTTAAAAAATCCTCCCTGGAAAATGGGTGAATGTGGGCTGGGGAGATAGCTCAGTAGAATAAGTGCTTGCCTGGCAAGTGTAAGGGCCTGAGTTCAATCCCGGGTTCTGCCCCCACTCCCAAAAAAAGGTGTGAGTCAAGTTGCCCGGAAGCACTCACTTGAAATGGTCCTGCAATGCCACATTGAAGTCAAAGGCATCACCTCGGTCGCCAAAGCCAATTCCAATAAATGCCCGTCGCCCTGGGAGACAACACACAATCAACCCACTTGCCCAGAAGCAGAGAGCACCTTGTGAAGAGGCGGCGGGCGGACCCACACATACCATTTCCGTCTTCGACGCGGATGACGAAGTACCTGCTGGAGTCTGTCACGCTCTCCACTGCCATGCCAGGAAACTGATCCACCGGTGCCTGAGCAAAGAGCTCCCCTGGAAACACAAGTGGGCTGAGGGCTCCCTTCCTTCCTTCCTTTTTTTTTTTTTTTTTTTTAGACAAGGTCTTGTAATGTAGTTGAGGCTGGCCTTGAACTTTTTTTTTTTTTTTTTTCATTGAAATTTTTTTTTAATCTCTCTTTTTTTATTCCATATTTGGTACAGGGTCTCACTACGCAGCTTGGACTCATGGTGATCCTCCCATTTTCAGCCTTCTCAGAGTTGGGACTGGGGTGTGCACCACCATACCCAGTCTCAGTGGCCAGCTCAGTGAGCCAGGGGGGTAGGGCCAGCGTAGCAAGTGGTGCTGGGGATTGAACCCCTGTCCCTGTGCTTGCCCCAGTGGGTGCTTAGACCACTGACCTATTTCGCCTGGCCCTTGACCTTGAACTTGCAGTAATTCTCCAGTCTCAGCTTCCAGAGTGCTGGGATTATAGGCATGAGCTACCTCACTTGGGGTGCATCAAATCCATTCTTGCTGAAGGGGAGACATGGGACTCTAACTAAGGAGTGGCCTGAGTTAGAAGTGGCTTACAGATCAAACCCCATCCATAGGGGCTGGGGAGATGGCTCAGTGGAATAAGTGGCAAGCACAAGGGCCTGAGTTCAATCCCCGGTTTAAAAAAAAAAAAAATCCATGATTTTACTATCTTTATTTAATTGCCAAATAATTCAAAAACAAACTACATGTGAAGTAATCCAGATTGCTGGCTTTCCCTGAAATTACAAGCTCATCGGAAGATGGGCCTCCATTCCCACATGACAAGGCTGGACTGGAGCTGCTACGCACTCATTCCACCTTCACCTATGGCCAGGACCTACTGAGGCCTGAGGTCCCGGTGCAAGTGAGCTCTAGACCAGGTGACCACCCCTTCAAGACGCCTCGCCTACCAGGTAGACTGCAGGAGGGGCCTCAAGCCCAATGAAAAGAAGGAAGTTTCTACACCTACAAAAGATTCAAAGCAGGCTGACACATTCAGTCTCAGACATGGGGCATAAGACTTAGGACATGTACCCCTCTGTCAACACCAGCTCCTCAGAGCCGCCTCGAAGCACACAAAGCTGTGAGTGCTATGACTGTTGCGATGGTGCTGTCAGAGCTCTAAGTATTGAACCAAGCATCTCTACTGAGTCCTGTGGCTTAGAGTGACAATAAGGCTGAACCTAATCAAAACTAACAGAGCCTGCAGCTTATCAACTCATCCACACCTCCCTTGGGGCCAGGTCCCCCTAGATACTGGTGGCCAAGAGCAATGTTCTTAACCAGGGCTGGTTTTGTTCCCCTTTCCCATGGAGAGAGCTGGCAAAAGCTGGGGACATTTTGGTTGTCACACCCGGAGAGGTGCTACTGGTGACTGGCAGATAGAGGCCAGAGACACTGCTGCATATCTTACATTTCTCTTGGCCCCAAACCCTCACAATGCTGAGGCTGAGAAACCCTGCCTAGGGTGAACTGCTTATTAAAGTCCTGGGAAGATAGCTCAGCAGTCTAAGCACTTGCCTGGCAAGTGCAACACTGGGGTTCCATCCCCAATACCGCATGCCATGCCAGCCCTGTGCCATGCCAGCCCCTGAAACCGCGTGTGGTGGGACACGCCATAATCCCAGTGCTGGGGAGGCTGAGACAGGAGGATCACTACAAGTTTGAGTTGCATAGTGAGACTCTGTACTAAATAAATAAATAATAAATGATTTTTAAAAATCTTCCCTGGAAAATGGGTGAATTTGGGTTGGGGCGATAGCTCAGTAGAATAAGGACTTGCCTGGCAAGTGCAAGGCCCCCGAGTTCAATCCCCGGTTCTGCCCTCCCCCCAAAAAGGCGAATGTGATCCTGAGCTAAGGGGACCAAGGTGTGGACCCGTACACGTGACACTCAGCCCTGTGCAGTGACTGTCACATTACATAGTCATGTTAAAATCAAACTTCTCGGGTTTCCCAGAGAAGACAACAGCCACACCCTTGTGATACCATCTAGGATGTCCCAGAGATTTGCTGCGGGGTCACCTACACGCCAAAGGAACAAACCAAAGATCTGGGTCTCCTTGCGGCTTATACAGCAACAAGGTCACTATCTGCTCAAGTTCTATTTCCAGCAACCCTGTGAAGGAACTGATGCAAGTTTCCTTTCAACAAAAATAGGCCAAGATTCCGAAGGTCACGTGCCTTGCCCAAGGTCTCACAACTCAAGCAGAAGTGGGACAGCTCTGAGAAGGCACAGCAGTTCTGCCTCTAAATCCTGGCACTTTTTTCTGTTCCACAAAGGGAGATCTCTACACATTAGAAAAAAGACAGAAGGCTGTGGCTCCTCACTGACTGGGCCCTGTGCCCAATAATCCCCAGTCCGGGCTGGGAGATCCCCAGCATGTTGCTCTCCAGGGTCACCCAGGGGTGCTGGTGGCCAAGATACCCAGGGAGATTCCACAGAGGTGGTATCTGCCAGCTGAGCCAGGTGCAGCCCAGCGTGGCTTGTCCTCTCGCCACAGAAAGAGCTGAGCAGGAAAGTTTCCGCCTCTTCCACTTATCAGGCTTGGTCAGTTCTGGGAAGTTACCATTTGGTTGATAAACAGAATTCCTGAGTAAGAACTCAACCCAGCAGCCTCAGAGGCAAGCCTCTCCTCCAGGAAAGCTCTGGGGCTTCCTGCTTACTGCCGGGACCAATCTGCAGATCTCCTCTCTCTGGCCTCCAGAACTAGTGGTTTCCTAAGGACCCTGAAAGGAAAAGGCTTGACAAGACAGACTCCTTTTTATGTCTGCGGGCAGTGGTTTCTACACCTGAACCCATAAATGGGGGCAGCTGAAAAGTACCCGAGGTCTCCGATTTCCATAACCCTGAGCAGCCTGGCCAGCCCCAGCCATCTCTGCCTTCATCATGTGGGATATGCGACAGCTCAGCCCAGCGCAGGGCCCCCTGCCTTTACCTGAGGTCCTGTCCTCCAGCTTGATGTAGGCCACCTTCCCTTTCGCAGTGATCCTCAGTCGGCCACTCCATGATGGCTGGTCCAGCTGCCACTCCGAGGCCCTATGGGGACAAAACCCACTGAGCCTCTGCCAGAGGCTGCTGCTCTTTCTCTAATGCTGGGGACAGAAACAGGAAAGACTGCTTGTTCTAGACCAAGAATGGCAAGCTCTTTCTATAAAGGGACAATAAATACTTTTGATTTTGCAGGCCACACAAAACCTCTGTCACAACTCTGATGTTGAAGAGAGAAGCAATCAGTCAGACAACACACATGTGGGCTACATTCAAAAAAAATTCTTAGCTTGTGAACCATTCAAAAACAGAAGGCTGGGCCGGGGAGATGGCTCAGTAGAATAAGCGCTTCCCTGGCAAGCACAAGGGCATGAGTTCAATCCCTGGCTCCGCAAGAAAAAAAAACAACCAACCATGGCTGTTGCTTGCTGACTCCATTCAGCACTGCAGACCTCCTTCCAAGTGGGACTTCCTTTCCACAAGGGAAGGAGGGGGTAGTTTCTCTTTAAGACACTGCTAGACCATGGCAGTCACTGTGCCTAGCTGGGACTCTGAAACCATTTTAGAGGGAAAGTACTGGGGAGCAATCACCCTCAGAAAAAGAAAAGTGAAGTTAAGTGTGTGAGAGCACATTAGAAAAGTGAATGTTCTAGATTCTGAAGGGATCCCAGCTAGGAGGAAACCACAGACCAGTGATGGCGAACGTTTAGAGCTTCCAATAACAAGCAGCTCAGCCTGCCACAGCACATGTCCCACAGGTTTGCCACCACCGCCACAGACCAATGAGCAACAGCTTCTCCTGGCTCTTTTACAGCAATAAATTTCAAAGCAACAGCTTAGTAAAACCTCTAAATACCAAGAACTGTGGGTGTTTCCAGGGAACATTTCTTGGAAGTTCCTAAGCCTGTGTCAGCCAGCAGGAAGTGTGGATGAAGACGGTTTTGTGGGCCACAGAAATGCACACACTCCATTCTGCAGACCTGGTTTCAGTTCCCCTACAGGAGCAGCAGGCCTTAGCTTCCAGCGAAGGAGAACTGGAGGGTGACATGCAGAGGCTGGCAGTTTCCTTTATGCCAGACCAGTGAGGCCCAACATCTGGACACTTCACTCTCTGGGGGGCCAATAAGAACCAAGCCCACCCCACTCAATACCCAACCACAGATCAGGGTGGACAGCCATTCCTAGTTTGAAATCCCATTTCCAGTTTGGGGACAGAGAACAACTGTATTTTTTTTTTCTCATTGTTGCTGTCATACTATTTTTTTTTTTTAATTTTTTTTTTTTTTTTATTTTTGTGTGTGTATGTGTGGCCAGCTCAGCCCACCAGGGGGCAGGGCTGGCTGGCATGTGGTGCTGGGGGATTGAACCGCGCGGTCCCTGTGCTTTGCTAAGCTTGTTCTAAGTAGGTGCTTTAGACCACTGAACCATCCCACCAGCCCCTGTCATACTATTTTTAAATTCCACAGTGGGTGCAGAGTGTTCACTATCAGCCTGTGCTGACAACTGCGAGTACAAGGCGGCAGGTAGGTGGATGCTCCGCAGTTCTCTTGGTACTGGCCAAGCCCGTATTTCACAATCACTCTGTACGTACACCCTGCCCTCTCAGGAGCCACCCCTCTTCTCAAGCATCAGCACCCCACCACTCAGTGCGTGACACACACCGGTTACGCGTATCAGGCGTATCTTTTTTCACACAAGGATAATGAAACGCAGACAACACAAAAGGCATACAGTGACTCGCAGTTAAAACACTAGTTCTCCTTCCTTAAGGCAGCTGTTGTTCCTTATGGTCCCCTTCCAGGGATACTCTTATTAGCCTTTACAAGCCTGTGTGTTTACTCGTCTCAGGTGAAAATTACACAAGCTACACGAGGATGGGCCCCTCCCAGCTACTGCAAGCAGTGATAAAGGGTGACACCCGGGGTAAGGGAGCTGGACAACAAAGGGCCCCTGGGCGTCAGCCATCAGCCCGGGGATTCGCCACTGACAGGTCCTCCCCAACCCTTACGGCTTCCAAAGACTCTTTTACGGCCGTTGTTGGCTCTGGGAGAGACAGTTCTGGGACACCCCACCACCACCACCACCACCACCACCACTAAGTTCAGGGGTCCCCGCAGCCCCCGGGGTTCCCAAGCGCTAAGTTCTAACGGCTTCTCCGCCTCCTGGAGTCCCGCGCCTGGTACAGACACGGCCCCAACTCTGGGCCCCCCTTCTTGCTCTGGGCTCCAACTGAAAAGCCCCAGCGTTACCGCCTCCGACCCCTAAACTGGACAGGGCCTTCCTCGGCTCCCGTAGTGGGTGTGTCGGGGCGGCGGGCAAGGGGTGAAGTCAGGGCCACCAGGGAGTCACCTGTAGCCACGGTTGGTGGCCCGCGGCGGGATGCGGTAGACGTGGACCTCCGGCTTGACACAGAGCACCGACTCGTAGTCGCTCTCTTCCATCGCGACGCCCGGAGCCCACCAAACTTCCGGCTCCCTCGGCTCCCGCGAGACCGGAAGCGACGCGGCTCTATGACCAGACTCCGGCTAGAGCGGCGGCTTGCGGGCCTCGGCGCCTCCTCGCGCGTGCGCCGCCTGCTGGATGGACCCGCTGTGGACAGAGCCCCGGCTCTACATCGGCGGGTCCACGAGGCTTCTCCCACCGTGCGGGCGCCCTTGACCGCTCGGAAAGCGTCAGAAAGACCCCACCCCAAACCGTGATCTGATTGTGGGTTCATGCCCCGCTCCACTCTTCTGCTTAGGGCGCAGCTGGCCCTGCACACCTTCCAGGCCTTAGCTCCCCCCACCACACACACTCCTGCAGAGTGTCACCAGGGCTTCTCCATCCTTCCGGTGCTGTGACTTACACGCCCGGGGCCCCAAGTGGCGTAACTCAGCCAAGAGATGATTTCGAAGAAATGAATTTTAGTAACAGTAGTTTAAGAATCATCCTTGGCGTAACATGGCTACATAGATCATTCTAGGGGATACGATGCTTCCCTGCAATCAACTCCCCTGTCATCCTTTCATTCCAAGGGGACTGTGTTTACTGAGCATCTATCAGACGGACCAGATGGACCAGAGCCAGTGTGGGGTACTTCTGATGCCAAATCCATGACTCACTGAATACGCTCAAATCCCCCTCCCCTTTTTATTCTGCACAAGCTCGTTATGGGATTGAAAGAACCAATGCAATTCTGTTTGCTAGGGTAAATATATA